CCATCCACACACATAATGGACCGTCTCCTGCATTTACTTAACATGCAGTATTATAGCCAACAGGGTGATGGAGTGGAGGGAGGACACGTGGTCCCTGTCGTTAAAAGTGTGCGGAAGATTCCATTAGAGTGTTCCAGGGCTGACACAGTCGGGGAACTCCTGCCCACGGAGAAGGATTTTGCCAATGGAGAGAAAGTGAAGCTCATACATGGTACACAGAAACACGAAATAATGGGACCACGGCGATTTATCTGAAAGGATTTTCTCTGTAAGCCATGGGAAGGGCATTCCTGTGGACAGGGAGCTGCTTAGATGCCACACACACAAATCTCTCTGTCACACAACCTGGCCACGAACCTAGGCCCTATAAACCCACAAACTGATACTTAGGTAAAGGAAAACCAGATTCAACCCCCCTTTTAAACAACCCAAGAGAAAAATCACGAAACAACATCCCCCACCCACCAAACTCCCTGCTGAAAGACACGCAGACACCGGGACACTCCTTCACACGCGTCTCTCCCTCTCAAGAGTCCGCTACCCTCCATCCACATTCCCTAGTACTGCCCCCTGGCATTCGCTGTGAGAATGAAAAGTTCAGCGCATGAGCAATTCAGGGTGTTTGGGACGGCAGATGAAAATACAGGCGCGAGAGCACCTGGAAATGATTATGGATAAAGAATCAAGCCCTACCTTACTCTCTTATTGAATAAGTATCTACCATATTCCCTTCACTCTCCAGCTCAGTTTTTAAGATATAATGATGTTTGTAAATAACATTAAAGTAGATTTACTTTGAGAAACTAATACAAACTATTAAGCTTGACAACTTGGAGATTAATAAATTAACCCATTCATTAAGTGTCTATGAGCATCTACTCTGTACCTGCCCGTGGGCGGATGAGGTAACACTAGACTCAAAAGCTCACAAGAAACCACCCCAACGGCTGTGTGTGTGAAGGTTTCACCAGGAGGCAACATTCTCACGGGGCCTTTCTGAAGGACGAATGTGTACAAGGTGGAGAAAAGGGGTGGAGGGATGCCAGGCAGGGCACGGCCTACAGGGACCACGCATGGGAAGCTACTGGAGACAGAGCTTGGGAGAGGGACCAGAATGTAGAATGTTTAGAGATTACAAAGTGAAAAATGGGCTGGAGTTCCCACACATGCCGGGATTAGAGCGTTTGTGGACTCTAACCTCGGAATATAAGGCGCTCCAAGAGGGACAGGGCCACACCTCTGATTCAAATTGCTAAACCTTCAGATACACAATAAATCTATATCTACAGCAAGCAGCAATTTATGTATTTCAACATGCACAAATTATCTGTGATTATTTCAGGCAAAAATGGTTTCCTCCTCCCTTTTCAAAATATTTGTTTTTACTACTAATTAACAGTATTCTCAATATTAACGTGTTCTCAATATTAAAGACTAAGGGAAAAAAGTTATAGCTGGCAACTGCTTCCTCTGAAGACCCTACACAGCAGAGTTCAGACCTATATGGCCATCCTCGACTACACTTTATATCAAACTGGTTTAAATCGAAAAAGGTCCACATCACAAAGAATCGCAGTCAAATTAATTCATCAGCCCTCTATTCTAAGGAAAACTCCCCTCACTCCAGATATTTTACATTTGGCAAATTCTTAAAAATTAATTCCTAAAGTTCCACCGCTTAATAGATCCTAAGTTACTGCACCAGACCCGGGTTAATAAACCCAAATAGGCTGAACTTCTCAGAACCCAACTTGTTTCTATCTTAATCCAGCAAGTTGCATCGAGCTGTCATTGTGAAAACCTGCCTGTTCCTCCTTCCAAGGCGGAGGTGACAACGGTGCACATCATCCGCGGATACGTGGAAGGACAGACAGACACCAGGGAACCAAGGGAGAGCGGATACAGCACAAAGGGGAGGCAGCGGCCGTGGGGCGCCGGGCCACGGCCAGAAGCGCCGTCGGGGAGGAAGGTGGGCTGCAGGACGAGCTCGGGAGGGCTCCGAAATGCGCTTGGGCCAAAACAAAAACAAAAAGTTCAGCGCCGACAGTGGGAGCAGATTGGGCGAGACGGTTCACGGCTGCCCATTGGAGAAAAGGGAAAACAGAGTCCCCCAATCGCGAGCGACGGGGCTGCTCCCCTCGTGCGGCCGCGGGCCCGGCCCCGACGCTGCCCGGCGGCCGCTACCGCTCCCTTCCGGCCGCGGCCACCACTGCAGGCCCCGCGCCGGCCCCGCACCGGCCTGGCTACACCAGACCACAGTGCTCCCGCCTGTAATCCAGCCTTTTGGATCAAGCTGAAGAGGAGTACACCTGAGGATCAGATGCAGTTCAAGACCAGCCTGGGCACACATCAGATGAAAACTCAACGTCTATACACTAAATCAAAAAAAAAAAAACATAGCTGGACATGGTGGCGGGCGCCTGTCATTCCCCAGCCTAATCAAGAGGCTGAGGCAAAGAATGCTTGCAACCTGGGAGCAGAGGTTGCGGTAAATGACCTAAGACACGCCTATTTATCCACCTGGGCGACTCACAGGAGAGAAGCTCAAAAACACATCAAAAAAAAAATAAAAAAAGAAAGAACACCAAACACAGAGTCACCAGTCCTCTAGCCAGGTGCCTCCTCAGGACGAGCCTCCACTGCCTTAGACCCATTCCACTCTGGCGGACAGGCGGGCAGCAACGAACGTCTGGGTTTGAATCTCTGCTCTGACAGGCGTCTTGCCTGGCAACAAGATAGCTCACCCGACACTGACATCCAGTACATTAATAAAATACAAAGAAGAAGTCACACCGACATAATCAAGCGGACCAATAACGAGGTCAGAGGACATCGAGAACAATCCTGGCTAAAAAAGAACTAACACGGTGAACCCCCGTCTTAACTATAAAAATACAAAAAATTAAGCCAGCGCATGGTGGCGGGCACCTGTAGTCCCAGCTTACTCAGGAGAGTGAGGCGGGATAAAGCATGGAACACGGAAGGCCGGAGGCTTGCAGTGAGCCTAGATG